TTTACACAAATTATTCTTTTACCTTGCAGCCTGTACTGCACTTAACTGGATACCTTGGTTGTCACTTGAAGCATTCTATGAAATGAATAAAATAAATTTTTAGTTCAGGAATTTACAGTGTAAACAAAATGTTAAGTAACTGGAAATAGTTATTTACCTGCACAATTGCCTCCAGAGATGTGTTTTGCTGCAACAAATATCAAAGTGTTAGAACTAGTTATAAAAAGATACATATGTTGTATTTCATATAGCATACTAGTTCTTACCACCCTGAAGTCGCCATCTATATCAGAATCTTCACAGATATCTTCATGAGGTACATTTCTTCTCTTTAACAGATGCTCATCTCGCTTGTTCTTTTAAATGCAAAATATGAAACTTTATTATTTATTTTTGGCAAATGTATTCATTTTTTGAGAACTTGAAAGTAACATATCACAGAAAAGTATCTTAATTAGTTATTTTAAGAAGTAACAGCAAAATAATGAAATCTCTTTTGCAAAGTCAGATAGTGACAGAAACAAGTAACATTTAATATTTGTTCTCACTACTTTTGGGGGCATTTTGAGGCAAGGAAATTTGAATAAAGCATAAAAGTTATTAGTCTACTAAAATTTAATGTTTCAAGCTCTGCACTTTTCTGTAATTTAAGGATATAATATAAGGGTACTTTAAAATAGTAAAATAATAATAGAATATTAAAGTTGCAAAATAAAAGCAAGAAAACATCTTAGGAATATGACATGCCTCAAAAGCTTTTTAACTGTTATAAAACAAAATTCAAGTGCATATTTATATTCAGTCCCAAATCTTTCCTTATTAAACTTTAGGTTCATTAGTAATCAACAGAGTTCTGCTTATCTCTGAAACACACAACTGTTTTGGCCTATTTACAGGCTGATTCTCCATTACCTGAAATGCTTGGGACCAGAAGTATTTTGGATTTCAGATTCAGGAATATTTGCATATACATGAGATATCTTGGACATGGGACCCAAGTCTAAACATGAAATTAGTTTGTTTTGAATACAGTTGCCCACCCCCACCCCTTTCTTGCAGACTTAAAGTCTGCGTTTTTGCATATTCACAGAGGGACGACCTCTGTGAAAATCAATGAGGCGTGCTCCATTCAAGCCTATGGGGTTGAATATTGCCGAATGTTTTCATGAGGGGGTTCGGAATGGATCTCCCGCGAAAACGGAGGGTCGAATGTATACCTCATACACATAGCATGAGGGTAATTTTATACATAATACTTTTAATATTTTTGTGCATGAAACAAAGTTAGTGTACACTGAACCATCAGAAAGCAAAGATGTTACTATCTCAGCAACCCGTGAGGACAACTTTGGAGGATTATGAAATTCCAGATAAGGGATACCCAACCTGTACCACCATCTCTCTTTTAAAAAACCCAAAAACCCTTGACTCCTAATGACAAATGTTCCAAGGATATGGGAGGTTCCCTTGCTATAACAAGCCCACTTTTCAAAAACTATAGCAGCATCAATAGGTGTTTGCTTCTCTCATCATCCAGCCAAGTTCTGTCCAGAGGGACGCAGAGCAAAAGCAAAGACCACAAATTAATTTATGACATTCATTATAATGATAAAGAGCTAGAGTCAGTTTCACAAATTAAAGATGCACTTCCTGCTTTGGAATAGAACTTAGACTGAGCCATGAAAACACTGAACTCAGCCTCATGATTCTCATAACATGACCTTCAAGCAACAAGGAAAATCACAGATAATTATTTAGTTCTATTTAAAAATGGAGTAACACCAAAAAGGTAGTGCAGTCTTTGATCCACAAAATGATTTTATTGTAAATGTCAAAAGTTCCCCATAACTTGCAATCTGACATATTAATAGTCAAAGATCTTCTAAAGGAGTAATTTCTTCAGTTGTCTATCAGAAAAATAAGGCAAGATGGTTGCTTCCACTACTAGTAATTTTAGATACCTACATCTATAGAAAAATACTAAAAACCATGGGTATCAAATTCATAATGGACATACTGCCTAAGGCTCACATTCCTGGACATATAAGAAGTGAGAGGTCATTCCTTGATAAAACAGAAGAGAGGGAGGGAAAGCATGTCTCTTGTATCTTATGAGGACTGTTACACCTATAGTGCACTGAAATGAGCTCATAGCAATACTAAAAGTAATTGAGGAAAGTTTTAATATTCCTTACCTTTCTTAATTCCACGACAACTTCATTTCGTTGTCTTCTCATAGTCTGTTAACATTAAAACATAATTATACCTTAACCAAAATGCTTACTGAAGCACAGATTAATTATCCAAAACATAAAATAATTTTGCTCTTCTTTCTAATTATTCCCCATGTAAATTTATATTAAAACCACCCAAAACTGAAGACCTGTACTAACTTCATTATGATTGTATGAACTGGCACAAAATGTTTTGGGTCAACAATGATAGGTTTAAATGACACACTAAGCCAGAGATGTGGGGCTGCTTGAGAATTCCCATATTCAGTGGTACTGATGAAACAAAGCACAGAACATGGGTCTATGGCTTGCCTACTGCAGCTCTCAAAGATCTGGGGACCATTCACAGCCTCTATTAGAGCTAGGAGAGTCCCTTCTCCCACCATGGCTCTCCAAACCGTTTTAACTGCTTTTCTTTAAAAGTGAAATATTGTTGGGGTCAATTTCAGCAGTTTTGTGCTATTTCTGTCCTGTTTCAGGCACAGGAACAATTATTTCTCATATTGGGAAACTACTTCTACTTCCAAGGGTTAACAAAGATCAAGTTTATAAAAAAGCCAACCAGAATTAGGAATGCAAGCATGTTTTCATGGACTACAGCCCACTTCATTAGATGCCACCTCAAAGGGATGTATCATTTGGCTAGTTCACAAATAAACAGGCTCTAATCCCCTAATGCAGTAACTCCCAAAGGGGGTGGTGAGGGAAAAAGGGGTGGCAAGGGGGCCTTCACTCAAAGTATTGGTGTGGAAGAAAGAAAAAGGGAACCAGCAGCCTCTAGGGCAG